TGAAGATCCCTAGGTGGCAAATGAGTCTCCCCACCAGGTCCCTCCCTCTGCTCAGCTCTCACACCCATCCCTGATCAGATCCCTAATGAACAAGCCCAACATCTCCCTCTACAAGCTGACACGTCCCCCTGACACAGAGCTTCTTACTGCACCTTGCTCTTGAAGAGGGAAGAATGGTCAAAGGTCACAGTGGAGGCAAGTCTCTAACACAAGAAACCTGAACAGAGAAAAAGCAGTCCTCTTAGAAAAAAAGCAGGGAGAACAGAACTAAAAGAAGACATTCACCAACCTGATCAGAGCGATGAGAAGACTGTGTACCTATGCAACAAGAACTGGGTGCACCAACAAGGAAGCAATCTGTCAGGAGCAGTACAGAGCTCTCGGAAACGGAAAATGAGGCGTGTAATAAAAAATGCACCGCAAGGACTCGCAGATACAATTAAAAAATATCCAGAAAGCAGGGGGTGAAAGAAATGGAAAAGAGAAAAAAGAGATGAGAAAATGAGAGGACCAATCCAGGAGGTCTGCTGTCTAAGCACGAGAAATCTCTGAAAAAAGAAGAAAAATAGAAAGGAGGAAATGAGCCAAGAACGACTTCAAGAAAATCTCGCAGACTCAAGGGAGTGCCACTGAGCACACAGGAGAGGGAATGAACAAAGACCATCACCAAAGCACCTGCTGGGAAACTCCAGAACACTGGCACAAAAAGATGCCACAAGTGAAGAGAAGGGCAATGTACCAAATGTGAGTGACCAATATGGCAGCATTGAGGATGAGAAAGACAGAGAGAGTTACATGGGCAGTACAAACAACAAATATGAACCCCTCTGCAAATACAATACTGAGTTGTCAATGAAAGCAAACATGGGTATAGGGACGGATAGATGGGTGAACAAGCTAAACAATTATGTATGTCTAAATGGAGAGTGTATCCAAGATCATATACAGGGTTGGCAGACAATGGGCCTCTCAGGGTGCAGAAGAGTATGAAGGGATGGACACTGGGAGGAGGTAACTATGGGGAGGAAGTGGGAGGGGAGCTGCTGCATTATAAATTTTGGTCAATGACATGAGACAAAGTATATGTGAACTGCTGTATGAAAAGTGAATTTACTCTGTAAATCTTCACCCAAATCCTAAAAATAAAAAGATGCCACAAACGCCTTAAAAAGAGGCTGCAAACAAAGAACTGGGACTATGGCTAGAACTGAACTCTCAACTTTGATGCCCTTGAATTGTGTGTTGGTGAAGAATACCGAATGTTCCATGGACTGCCCGAAGAACAAAGAGATCTAGCCTGCACCAAACCCACCAAACACCACCACACACTGGAAAGCAGAAGATAACAAAGGAAATTGTCTTCAAAATTCTGAAGGAAGGATTTTCAACCTGAGGTTCTGTATTCAGCCGACTGCGATACGGATTCAGAAAGCAGCAGGCTTCCTTTCTCAGTCAGTCTTTAGGGCTCGTGTGCCCTCACATCTAGCAGTAAGTCCAGCAAAACAAAAACGAAACGCACTGCCACTGAGTCCATCCCGACTCACAGCAACCCCCACGGGGTTTCCAAGGCTGTCAATCATTACAGAAGTAGATTGCCTCATCTTTCTCCTGCAGAGCAGTGGTTTGAATCACTGACCTTCTGGTTAGCAGCGAAGTCCCTTAGCCCGTGTGCCACCAGAACGGAATCCTGGAAACGTAGTTTCTGAAGCAGGGGAAAGGAGTTCCCGGATTGACAGCGGCAGAGTGTACACCGGAAGTACGCACTCCAGAATGAAGCAGGGGGATGGAGAGGCCCAGTAGGTCTCGAAGAAAAAGACCTGAGCCTGATGAAGGATTGCTCCACGGGGACAGGGGTCCTATCGCTCTGGTGGAGGGACACGTCAGTGCTCAGGACAAAAGTTAAGACAAACAAAGCAGCAAGTCAGTGACAACTGTAAAAGGAAATGTAATCACAGCATATGACACACTCAGTTGCGAACAATGTTCCTTTTAGTCACTGTAATGTCACCATGATGATGGTGCGTGCAGGACCAGGCAGTGTTTTGTCATCAACTCCAATGCAATGCAATGGCACCTAACAACACAACATAAACATCAAATAACAAGTGTACTAAAAATTACCGCATAGAGTGTAGGAGAGATGGGGGTGGGGGAGAAATACATGACCACGTGGGTGCGAGACAGCTAACCCTTCATCTGCCATACGAGGAAGCTGTTTGTTGTCAAGTTCCAGCTCACAGTGAAGCCACGTGCAGAGCCCAACTGCCCCACAGGGTTTTCACGACTCTGACCCCTCCAGGGGGTCGCCAGGCCTGTGGTCCGAGTGCCTCGCTAACCTTTCAGCTACTAGTCAGCACTTAGCCTGCTGTGCCACCCGGGAATTCCTAGCAAGTTAGGAGCTAACGTGTGAAGACAGCATCATACACAAGAGTCACAGCAAAGGGACTGAGGGCTGGGCTCTGGGAGCATGAACGGCAGGGGAGAGGGCTGCATCGCGGGACTGCCTGCTTAGGGACAAAAAAAAAAAACAAACGCACTGCCGTGGACTCGGATCTGACTCACAGCGAACCCTTCGGTTCCGAGGTGGTATCACTACAGAAGTAGATTGTCCAACCTTCCTTCCCAGGAGTGGCTGGTGGGTTGAACCACCAGTCTTCCGCCCAGTATTATTTGAGTTTCAAAATTATACACCTGCGTTGTTTTGATAGAAACTGCACATGAAAGCCGGACAATGAAAAAGGTAGATCAAGGAATCGACCCACGTGAGTTGTGGTGTTGGAGAAGAACACTGCGTGTGCTGTGGGCGGCCCGGAGAACGAACAAGCGTGTCCTGGAAGCGGGATGGTCAGAACGCTCTTCAGAAGCGAGGACGGCGAGACTTCATCCTGCATCAGGAGGGACCAGTCCCTGGAGAATATCGTGTTTGGTGAAGTGGAGGGTCCGTGAAAGAGGGCGGAACCTCCGTGAGATGGGTGGACACAGTGTTTGCAACACAGGCGCAGGCAGGGCCATTATAAGGAAGATGGCGAAGGACCGGCGTTTCCTTCTGTTAGACGAGAGGCCAGCAGGAGTCGGAGCCAACGCAATGGCAGCTAACAACCACGCTGCTTTGACAACATTAAAACTTAGAAATGAAAACAACTGCTGCTCGGACATTCTAAGCAACCTCAAACGAAAGCCTGTTGCAGCTTGACTGATACTTGCAGTTCAAAGGAACTCAATGTTGACTTAATGACAAGTTAAAATACGTCTTTACCTTATAAATGCTTGACTTGTGAGATGCTTTCTCAAATTAGACTGATCCAGAGTATAACAATTCTCCACAAGATACCTCAAAAATAAATCCAAACACGCAACACTATTAGTGATTTCTGACAGCAATACTTGAGACCATTCAACGTGTCAGTGTCCTGTTACGTGCTTAGAATGCCCAATACAGAGATGGAAGGTTAAGTTCACTATTATATATTCAGGAAGTACTGACATCGCACTAGAAGAGGGTCTGATCAAGTTTTCAGGGTGGAAACTGAGCAGTAACACGAGAATAAGACGGCAGCACAACTGACAGGAAGGAGAATGGGACATCTGGGGCAAATGACTCCTGCTCCTTAAGTGCAGTGCTTCCCTTCAGCTCAGGAAGCATCCTTGTCTCTCCCATAAACAGCACAAATGTTTTTTAATTGAATGAGGAACTTATTTCCTAAACGAAGGTTAAAAAAAACCAACCCATTGCCATCAAGTTGATTCTGACTCACAGCGCCCCTAGAGGAGAGTGGAACTGCACCACAGGGTCTCCAACGCTGTCAGTCTTCACAGAAGCAAAGCCCAAACCACACCCACTGCCCTGGAGTCCATTCTGACCCACAGCGCCCCTAGAGGACAGAGTGGAACTGCACCACAGGGTCTCCAACGCTGTCAGTCTTTACAGAAGCAAAGCCCAAACCACACCCACTGCTGTGGAGTCGATTCTGACCCACAGCGCCCCTAGAGGACAGAGTGGAACTTCCCACAGGGTCTCCAAGGCTGTCAATCTCCACAGAAGCAAAGCCCAAACAACACCCACTGCTGTGGAGTCCATTCTGACCCACAGCGCCTCTAGAGGACAGAGTGGAACTGCACCACAGGGTCTCAAAGGCTGTCAGTCTTCACAGAAGCAAAGCCCAAACCACACCCACTACCGTGGAGTCCATTCTGACCCACAGCGCCCCTAGAGGACAGAGTGGAACTGCCCACAGGGTCTCC